ATGAAGCCAACACTACTTATAGCCACCCTTCACTCTCCCCAAATGCTCCTTCACTCTCATCGTTCTTCTTTCAGACATTTCCACAAAACACACTAAACTCACCTGAAACCCTATTCGATTCTCCCAACTCTACACTAATGGCACGACCACAACAAAGGTTCCGAGGCGTGAGACAGAGGCATTGGGGCTCTTGGGTCTCCGAAATTCGCCACCCTCTCTTGTAAACTCTCCCTCCCCTCTCTAATTACCAAATTACCCTCGCTCGTTTTTTCTTTTATTTAAATTAACCACCAAGTTCCTAACCTTTGGTTTATAATTCGTTTTATTTTGTTTTTCAGGAAAACAAGAATTTGGCTAGGGACCTTTGAGACGGCCGAGGACGCGGCAAAAGCTTACGACGAAGCGGCAAGGCTAATGTGCGGGCCGAGAGCTCGTACTAACTTCCCATACAACCCTAACGCTATACCTTCTTCCTCTTCGAAGCTCCTCTCTGCCACACTCACCGCTAAGCTCCACAAATGCTACATGGCTTCTCTTCAGCTGACTAAACAAACGCAGGCACAAACTCAAACGCAGACCACCGCGAGATTACGGTCACCGGCTGACACCGACTGCGACATCAGTGTGAGGGTCGAAAGAAATGATCAGTTTAAGAGTGGAGGAGTAACGGAGACGACGGAGATCAAGTGGGAAGAAGATGTAAACAATAATATGCAACAGAGTTTCAGGCCATTGGAGGAAGATCATATCGAACAAATGATCGAGGAGTTACTTCACTACGGTTCCATTGAGCTTTGCTCTGTTTTACCTACTCAGACGCTGTGAGAAACGGCCCTGTCGTTTTAGCGCATTTTTCTAATTAATTTATTTCCCTTCAACAGAACGGCGTCGTTAAGTGAAGAGAGTAGTAGTGAGGAAAAGGCTAATTTCAAGACATTTGATCTGAATTGGCCTCTTTGAAACACTCATTCTAGTTTTCACAAAGAGCAATCGATCATATGCTATGTAATGTATAGTATTTTTATGATATTAAAAAATGTTATCAATTTCTTTGTTATTCTTGCATCATCCCTTTTTTCTCCATGTAAACATTCATTCTTTGTGTTCGTGTGTGAATAAGTGGGGATTTAGTGTAGTGAAAAGACACAACATTGGGAAGAAAGATAAGTAAAGGAGACAACAGAGATGAGAGATTGGAAGGTTTTGAATTTTTTTTTTGTTGAGTTAACTTTTGTGTTTTTTGTTACATGCATGTTCTCATTTTCAACGGTGGGCCTTAATTAATTTTCTTTCCTTTTTAAAATATATTTCTCTCTCATTTTTTTGTTTCTTCTTCTTTTTAATTTGGGATTGCTGCTAAGTAGGAAAAAAGTGTCCCTAGCTGTGGCCTAGGAAGACCATAAAAATCAAACTTTGAATTTAGAGAGATTTGTGTATATCCAGCACTTATATTAAAATAGAAAAATAATGGTTAGCTACACAAAATAGAATCCATCATGTGTTACTAAAAAGATTAGTCCCACGAAATCAAAGACTCAGAAACTATAATACGATAACTGCTCTCTGATCTATCGATTTTTCATGCATGCATATACGCGTTATCAGTTGTTAAC